CGCGGCGAGGGAGGCGCAGCAAGCTGGCGGGCAGGGCAGGGCAGAGCAGGGCAGGCCACGCCACACCACACCACACCCTCCCCTACCACACCCCACCCCACCCCACCCCTACCACACCACACCACACCACACCCCTACCACACCACCACCACACCGCCACCGACTGGCCCCCCCACCAGACCGGAACACCACCACCACCACAACAGCAGCCCCACACGCCCCCCCAGGGCACAGCCGCCCAACCCACCCACCCAGCTCGAAGCGGGCCTCCTGTGTGTCCTGCACGTGGCCCATCCAGTACAGCACCGGGTTGGTGGGGGCGTCGGGAGACACTGCAGTAGGGCGGGCAGGGCAGAGCAGGGAAGGTGGGCAGGGCAGGCCAGGCAAGGTGGGGCAGGCGGGGCAGGCAGGGAGGGGGGCATGGGTGAATAGGGTGGCATGGAGACGTTTCAACAGGAGACCATTTCAAGCTCAAGAGGAGGCCATACGAGGCTCGACCCGCACTCGGCCAACACCAACAGCCGGCCGGGGTGTGCGGGAGGGGTGAAGGCCAGATGGTTGTGTGGCTGCAGCGGCCCGGCTGCCACCCACCGGTGAAGAAGTGCCACTGGCGGCGCGGCGGCTGCGGGGAGTCCTCCGCCGCAGCCGCGCCCCGCAGGCCGCTGCTGCCGCCGCCGCCGGCCGCCACCAGCTCGCTGCGTTGGGAGGCGGAGGCGAGGGAGGCGAGGCGTGCGGCGCTGCGCTCCTTGGACCGCTTGCGAGCGCGGATGCTGCGCACGCGGCTCAGCGCCGCGGCAAAGCGATCCTCGTCCTCGCACCGCTGCTGCTGCTGCTGCTGCTGGCTGCCAGCCCCGGCGGCGCGCTCCGAGCTGGAGCAGCTGGCGTCGCTGCCGCCGTCGCTGCTGCCGCAGGAGCTGCCGCCTGCGTCGCCTGCAGCGGCCGCACCCGCCGCCTGCTGCGGCGGCGGCGGCAGCTGCTGGGCGCGGCGCTGTTGGGCCCCCGGCCGCCCGTTGTGGTCTGGGGAGGAAAGCACGTCGGGGCTGTCAGCCTTGGACAGCGGGTCGAGCGGGCTGGGCTGGGCTGGGCTGGTGTGCGTGCTGTTGGAGCGGCTCCAGTCCTCAAGCGTGGCGGCGCTTTCCAGCGCCAGCCTGGCGCCCGCCACCTGGCGCCGCCGCCGCCCCGGCGGCAGCAGCGACGCCTGGGACAGGGCATCGAAGTCTGCCGCTGCCGAGGCCGTCACGGCCGCGACCACCGCGGTTGCCGCCAGGCTGCCTGCAG